GGAAATAAATATGTAGATGTTATCAAAATGTTATCAATTTTGCTTGATAGAGATTGATATTTAAATGATATTACTTTAAATTAATAATTTAAACAGAGAACAATGAGCACAACGAAAAGATTAAAATAAAGATCGATATAATTACTTAATTAACGCAAAATTTTTTATAAAACATATAGGATATTATATGATAGATTTACTTAATTTATTATTATTTACAAAAGGGATTAGTCTTTACAACATAATTAATAATTTTTTAATATTAGTTCATAAATAATAAAAGATATTTTTAAAAAAAAAAGATACATCAAGATTATATTTAAAAAATAAAGTTAATTAAGTCAAAAAATTAGATTGGATGATTTTTAATATTGAAAGTTACAGACCAATCATCTTTGATTATTATTCTTCAATTGATATGAAAAGTATTAGATAATATAAAAGACTGAAAAGATACATTAATCATCAATAAGTATTATATCCCATAAAAATATATAGATTTAATAAGATAATCATTATATCTTCTCTAACAACCAACCAACAATCTTAATTACTGATTAACTTATAGAACCACGTGAATTTTACATACATCAAATAATAAACATTTATAAATCACTGAGATTATGTAATTTCTGAGCAATTTTTGGGCCTCCTAAAAAATTGCCTTTTTGTTTACTTTAGCAACGAAGTATGCCAAAAGGGTGAGACAGTGACTACCGTCTAGGAGATGACCCCTAGTGGTGTTGGATGGGAGGGTTTTTTTTTTTAATTAATGTTTAGTATGTAAGAAATTATAACTGTATCTATTCATTCATTCTTCACTATTAATAACCAAAATATCACAAATTCTACTAATAAACAAAAATACTCCCTCAGTACATGAAACATAAAAATTCATCTATACCATTTTAACCACCCCTACCTGTTACAAATATACAAAAATGTCTGTTTCCCTTTTTTTCTTTCGGTTTTTACAACTTTGAATAAAGAAAATGAGAAAATGTAAAATTATATTCCACCAAAAAATAAATCACCTAATTCGACAAAATAAATGATATAAAAGCTTAATAGAAATTCATTTTTCAAATCATTAATTTAAATAATTTTTTTTCTTTTCTTCGTTCCAATGCAATCATTATCTTTGCCAGAACAGCAAGCAGAACAAATGAAAGCTTTGACTCAGCAGTGCATTCAAAACTTCCATCAATTTATGGATGTAAGAATTTCTTTTTTTACCATTTTAGGAATCATACGATAGAGTCAATGGAGCCATTGACTCCATTTACGATTAAATGTGTTTTAAGCCAGCTCCTGAATAAAACCCAAGTACCGAACTTGTAAAATTACCGGATGCTCCGAAATTGAAGATAGAAGTGATAATCAATATCACTCCTGATGAGACCAAATCATTTAGGTAAAAAAGAAGTTTTTAATTAATATATTTATAGATGTTTGTAATAATAGAAGGTAGAAGTAGTAGTACAGGAAGAGCTGGAGGTATTTGAGAGATAGGAGGATCTCTTATAAATTTTATCTAATGCTAATTAGATAATTATTGATGATGATGACCCATCATAAATATTTAAGAAACTTTTAGATATGCTCAAGAAGGAGTAAATCAAAGACTGTGTGGCATATCTCCAATCATTTAAGAATTAAGATAAAAAGGAGAAGGAGTAAATTAAGAAGATAATAAATATCCTGAAGAACTTAAAAGATCATGAATTCAATTTGAAAGACTATTCCTCAGAAGCATTTGAAGAGATTAAAAAGGAACTGATGAGTAAGATATAAGGTGAGAAGAACATGATTGAGTTATTAAAATTCTTAGTCCTAATTACTAGTATAGATGATCAATTCATCTAATGTGGATCCAATTCACTTCATATGTTGGTAATGATAAAGGTAGATGTCAGAAACCAATCATTTGAGAATATACGGATCAAGAATACAACTTTGATTGGTGGTAATTTTGTACGATGTGATTTTAATGGATCAGAATTTGAGAATGTGGATATCAGTGGAGTCAATTTTAATGGAGCTTAAATGTTCAATTGTAATTGGAAGAACATAAAAGTCCATGAATTGAATAAGTTGGATGGCCATAGTAGTTGTGTTAGATCAGTCTGTTTCTCTCCTGATGGAAATACATTAGCTTCTGGTAGT